CCGAGCGGAAATTTTCGCGAAGCTAACCCACCGGGAGTTCCTCCGTGTTCGACTATTCGTCTATTCAATTTTCCTGGATTTGCATTTTGTTTCGACGCACGACGTGCTCCCCGGCGTTTTACGACGTAGAGAAGGTATTTACGAAAATTACTCGACTATAGCGCGTTCGCCCATTATCTTTTAATGCAGGCTTGCACACACAGGACGCCGTAATTTTCAGGAATTAAAATTCCCGAGAGTAACGGATATGCGCGAGTAAACTGACTACGAGCGACGAAACTTTTTCACATGTGCGACACGTGCAACTCGCAGGATTTGAATAAGCGTACAGTGAACTCATAATCACAGATTCGATCAGATGATAATTTTAGAATTATGTCATATTTATAAAATATATATAAAAAAAGATAATCCATATATATATATATATATATATATATATATATATATGTGTATTCAATTCTGTAAATTGCGTGTCGATTTAATTTTTGTGCATAAATTTGCTGAAGAAAAGGAAAAAGAGATTACGTGGGAAAGAGTATAACAAAATTCAAATTGGAAAATAAAATAAGGTGTAAAAGATATTGAGAAAGAGAATATAGGATTACACAAGAAAAAAAGGAAATCATGCGGGAACACGCAGGATAGAAAGGAAATAGAAAGAAATAGAAGTTGGTATAGAAAAAATTGATTGAATCTTAGGAATGAAAGAGGAGAAAAAAGGCTTGTATAAAGAAAATAAAGAAATAGAGGATATAGAGATATATTGATTGTATGGATTGGTGGTGTGCGCCCACGCGTATGTATATTAACTTTGTTAGTGTTAGAGGAAATAAGAAGGAAAAAGATAAAGAGTTTGATAGATTGTTCTAAGTAAAGTTAGCTGTAAGTTAAATACGTTACGGAGATATAGATATATCTATATCCGCAACTTATTTAACTTACATAGCATAAATTATATTATACTGCAGTAATAAATGAATGAGAGTAGAAGCACTTTCTCAACAAAGACATACATACATACATATATTACTCTATGTATTATACAAGCCAAAATGTAGGTATTATACATCTGCAATTATTGATTTTAAGTTAGAAATATTTCTGAACTTGTTTTATTTAATGCTTTTAAGGGGAGTATATTCAATTATGCAGTCATACAATAAAACTGCTTATCTTATGTGTCTCTCTGTTATCATTAAATCAATAAATTCGAATAGTTTTTTCATTTTTTTTTTTATATAAATTGGCTTATATTTTAATTGTTTTTTCTAAATAAGCTCTTTCAGAATTTTTATTATAATTTGAAGTCAGTTTTTTGCAACTTCAATTATTTTTAATGAAAATATAATTTTTTGTTAAACCAAATGTGTGATCAAATCATATAATTTAATATAATTAAATCTATTTATTTTTTAAGAGATTTAAAAAACTTGTATACTTTTTCAGGAAAAAGATGCATTATGATCAAAAATATCAGGAGAGTGCTTCAAAACTTTTAATACTGTTTGACATAATCTTAATTATATCTCTTGCAATGATATATGCTTTTCCTCTTTCAAATCAAGGCTACATGTAAAGAATTTGACATTAATATATCGAAATAGAAAATTATAGAACATTTGAAAAAATAAAATATTGCTTTTGTTCGTGTTTTATTATATTTTTCATAACGTTCCTTGCTTGTTCCAAGTTGGTTTTCATTGATATTATCATTTATAAACGTTTTATATATTGTTTTATATAAATGTTTTATATATCATTCTTATAGACATTTATAGTGAATTTTATAACGAATTGTTTATGCTTACAGAATAATAGTTTGTGCTTTTTACTTTCAGTATAAGTTTTTGTAAACTTATACTAACTAAATGACGAGAGCTGTAAATGGGAATAAAATTAAAGAGTGCTGATATTATAAATAATAAAATTTGTGTAATGATATAATCTATATAATTATAAGGAACTTCGTTTGCATAGTTAGACGCATTGGTCACTCTGATCCAGGTAAAGACTGGTAAAGACCTACATATTCAATTTTTATTACTTCTTTTTATATTTAGATATGTAAAATCGTTTCATTTATCTCAAATAAAACAATTTTTTTTTTAAACAAATTTGTTATACTGGTTGAGTGTATCCTCTTAAGTTGAAATATTAAAGTATACGTATGTATAAAATTATTCAGGCTAAATAATATAATGGCAACGAAAAATGCAATTTAAAAGAATAAAATACATTCATGTTCCGATGATTCGGTCGAAAAAAAAAGTTTCAAGGATACGATAAACGCAGTTTATTATCAGTGATTACGCGGTAATGACATACAGATATACAAAAGATAATTTGCATAATATACACGTAACGTGTGACACGATGAAAAGAAAAATGGAACTTTCTACGGAAAGCCTTCGATCCATTTTCCAGTGATATGTATTGCGATAAATATTTGAACGGTCGCATATTCGATTATATCATGGCGAGCATGGCTTAACATTGCGACGGAATCGGATTTAAAGGTTAGGGGACAAATGAGTTGGCGCGATTTGCACGATGACACGACATTTCACGAATGACACTGCAAATCAAATCGATTCCGTGCTGCAATCGGCGGTAATCTTATGTACTACCTCGTCGCCCCACTTGAGAACGTCTCCCTGTCTATCTCTGAGTCTCTTGTACAGGTTAATAAACTGAATAACCCCATGCTTGCGCACGTGATCGGACAATTTCTTCGTCTCCTCCCAACTCAGGGGACTTCCTTCGGAGAGCAGGCCCATCCTTCGAATCTCTCAGGTCACTTTTGAAAATTGTAACACCGGAGAAGAAATTCCGCGGAAAGCTGAATTCCGTAATGACCACCAGTTGCAATCAATTACGACTAGCCACCCTCGCAGTCGCTTATATATCGGTCGCTAGTCGGCTAGCGCAATAATGCTTTCGCGTAACGTGATTTCTCAGATTTCAATACGATATCTCAATGATCATGCGCGAGCTAGAAGTACGAGACGACGGTAACGCCATCTTCATAATTAACATTCTTTCGCCAAGGACACTTTCGATAACGCGATCCGAAAATTTTAATATCAAGACTAATTGTTAATAAATACAATCAATACAACGGTAGAATGATAAATAAAACTTTAGATCGTTTCAATTTCATTTTATTTTGATGTCAGAAAACAAGCATTTATAAAATGATCCAAAATTGGATTCAAATATTTGACAGTTTCAGACACATGTTTATGTACACGTAATGTGAATACGTGTGCCTTAGTCGAACAATCCGAAACCCATGTCATCGTCTTCTGACTCTGATTCTTCCTTCTTCTCTTCCTTCTTCTCTGCAGCAGGAGTCTCGGCAGCTGTGGCTGCTGGAGTTGCTACAGCAGCAGCAGCAGCAAACTTGCTTGGATCCTACAAGCAATTTCATTACTCTTAATAAATGCGACCTCTTTGCTAATTGCGCGTACAGCATTTATATCATATTTTAATTCAGACTGCGCTTCGCGCAATATCTCAACCACGATCTTGACGTGCCAATGGGTTCAGCTATTTCTAGCTTTGGCACGTGAACCAAGATCTTCAGACGCCTAACGTTTTCATCATTATGCTCATTCGAGGAGTTAGAAATTCTATGAAATTCTTAAAATCATACCTTGATATATTCCTTAATAGTGGCAGCTTCTGCGAATTCAACGTCAGTGACAGCAGCGACAGCCAGCAAGTTTTTGAAGCCGTTTGCAATACTATGTGGCGCGCTAGCGACAGTAGGATAACCAATTGCCAAGCAAACTGAAGCTAAATTTGCGACTCCAGCCATGAATTTTTCACGTAGATCTTCAGGTTTGATGTCCAAAATTTCAGGCGCAAAAATAGTACCGGAATCATACACCTGTTCGACCAATAATCCATAGGAAAACGGAGAAATGTTCAACATGTTCAAAAGCGTGGCTTCGGAAGCTCCCACCTTGTCACCAGGTTTGAGGATGTGAACGTCATTCTATAATTTTTTATATCATTATTACATACATTCATAACTGTGATTTTTATAAAAATAGATATAAACATTTCTATAGTACTTACTATAATTTCAATAGTACCCTTAGAGATCTTAGTCGGTATACTCAAAGCTTGGAAAAAAGAAGTCTTTTCGGGACCAAGCCCTGTATTTTGCGCAGGGATGATGACGCTTAAAGGTGCAATGGCTCCTGCTCTGGCTGGAGCACGTACTTTATTTTCCAGCAATTTGTCCCTTACTTCAATCAAATCACCTCGGGTGAAGACAAACCCAACATTACCACGAATGTGAGGCAGTAATTTCTCCAATGCTGCGTTACGTTCTATATGACCACGAATCGCTTTTCTCATCATGGTATTTTTACCCATCAGTACAACTGCGTTTCCACGCAGTGACATACGAATTTGTTGCATCTGCTTTGAGCCAACATTATCCGCACCCACAATGAAGCACTTCGGATAATCATCTAACAGTTGCTGAATTTAACAAAAAAATGTTAGTAAATACTTTCCATATTTATATTAAATAATAATAATAATAAATTTTATGAACATAAAAAAATAATATATAATATGCATATATGTATATACATATCATATATTATATATCTACATCATAAACAATATTATATGCTGTTATAATGATAAGATTAAAATTGATTAATTAATATAAAACTAAGAGGAAAATACTTACAACAAGTTTAGTGAAGTAATTCGACTTCCATGTTGCTTTGTCCTCCCTACCCATCTTGAACTGTGTAGGGATACCTTAGTTTAAGGACTAGAAATGATTAAAAACAAAAATTAGAGTAAAATATATAAAAAAGTGCAGTAAAAATTGATGTTAATATTTTGTTCAGACAATAAAAATATATAAAATATATTCTTCCTACATGTTATTCAAAGTTCCACAAGTGGGTTCATCTATTTCTAGGTCTTATGTCTTTGAAACTGTCAGACGCGTATTTTTCACATCATTTAAGTGCAAATTTAAGTAAAGATTACAGTAATGTCTCTTTCAAATCAACATGCCATATGTCCTGATCAAACTTTCAATTATCTGAAGGCACATGGTTCCATAACCTCTTATCCGGTATAGCTTGATTAATATAACTATCTAATAGATTTTTCATTATAACTTTTTTTATGTAAAAATAATACATATGTAGCATCGCAAATCTAAGATGAATAATATAAAAATTAACCATTGTAGTAATATTATGAAAATAACGCATCAAAGACCCAACCTACCTCAGCAACGTACGACAGCCACAGCACAACAGAAAAGGAAACGGAAGTTTCATAGCTGGGCAACGTCATCATTTGCGTTCGGAAACATCATTTGGAGTGTCCTCGTATGGGTGCGTTCCCACTGAGCGCGTCACGCGTCGCGTTATCCGAATTGACCAATCAAACCATCCCATTTTATTATGGGTGCGTTCCGATATTCACTTGCAGTACTGGCAGCACTGTAAATGCTGTTCCGATATACGTCGCAGCAGCCCCCTGACACTCTGTCGTATATGCTATATATTTGCGGTTACTTAATGTCCGCGATCCAACAGATGGCGCTGACAACATT